GAAGTCCTTGACTCACGGCCACGACTGAGCTAGAGATTCCCGTTGCTAAGCAAGACAGTTCTGAGGTGAATTTTTGCCTCTTTTTATGACCTTTCTCCCCACCGTTGTTAAGTGAGTCCCTTCAGTTGTTAGTTAGTAATATGGTTGTTAAAGGAAACTAGCTTCCCCATTGACTTTGCTTGTCTGAAGGTACCAAGAGGTGATCACACTGGAACCGTCATAAAGACACTCCATTTACCAAGTTTCTGAATTTTAATCATGGCGACACTGTAACGGTCATTAAGTGTGAAAAACAGCCCTAAGTCCCTTTTTTTTCCAGTGCCGTTTGAACCGTCACTAAACGAATTATTGTAAGTTGAGGACTACCTGTATAGCTTTGGGTATTGGTTTACATTTTAATGCCCTGCTTAGGCAGCTTTGTTTAATTATCCTTTCCATCTCAGTGGCACACGAAGCACCAGAATTATGAAATAAGAGCCTCAATTCCGGATACTGACCGGGCCTTTTGATTTCTTTATCAAATATAAATACCGCCCATCTCCCTCTCCATTTACTAAACGATGGTTGTGAGACAAGGACTTACCTGTACAGGTGGGAAGGACCACGGAATAGAAGGCAGGCTGTAATCTTTTCCCTTTCCACTGAACGAACCATTTATTTATGAAATTAGAGAAGGTATTTCAACGATCTAGAGAGAGAATAGAAGGGGAAATCATCAAATTTACGGACATGCTCAGGATCCAAAAAGATCTTGATGTCATGGTTCCGACAGATGAAACTCTTCAAAAGAACTTGGAGGCATTGTTTACCTTAAAGAATCTTTATTTGAGAAGCATAGCATCGGCACTAACGTAATCGAAGCCAAAAACTGAATTCCCCTCCTCATAGTACATAGTATCAAAGCACAATTCCTAAAACATATGAAGAATGGTTGCAGGAATTGGGTATGTCTGGCTAGTGAAAAGGACTAGGGGTGAAATTTTAGTATTTGAGGGGCTGCCACAAATAAGAGGGGGTCAGAAGGCAAGGCAAGAAACAATGGATGAAAACTAATCAAGGAGAGAAGCAACTTAGAACTAAGGAGAAATTTCCTAACAGTGAGAACAATTAACCAGTGGAACGACTTGCCTCCAGAAGTGGTGAATGCTCCAACACTGGAAGTTTTTAAGAAGAGATTGGACAGCCATTTGTCTGAATCAAATGGTCTCCTGCTTCAGCAGAGGGTTGGACTAGAAGATCTCCAAGGTCCCTTCCAACTCTGTTATTCTACTATTCTTTTATTTAGTCATATCCTCCAGAGCCAAAGCTTTTCCATGGAATCAGCTTATGCATTCAACCTCCTGCTTCTCAAGCAGCCATTACTGAAAAACAAGGATCACCCCGGTGTCCGTGTGATTCCGTTTCAGTCTTCTACAGATTCAGGGAAGACGTTTGTGGAACCCTACATTCCACTATTAGGAGTACTCTAAAGAAACACCAGGGTGGACTCTGTACTTAGCAGCAATGAGAAGGTGCACAGGGCAACCTGAGGGAGGTATGAATGTCATGGAGGGGACACAGAAGGAATTAAGACAGAGGTCCCCAACCTATTGGGCACCAGTGACCGGTTCCGTGGAGAGAGGTTTTTCCGCGGACCGTAGGGTGCATGGTTTTGTGTACTGCCTGCATCCTGCGGATGGGGCTTTGCTTGTTTGTGCAGACCGGTTGCTGGCATGTCGTGGCCCGGTACTGGTCCATGGACCGGGGGTTGGGGACCCCTGAATTAAGAGATCGGTTTTGCTGTTTTGACGGTGGGGATACCAGCTTTATTTTTATTTTTTTGGGAAGGGCATCCAGCTGTCTTCCTTGCATTTTTGCTGCAAGGATGAGCAGAGGGAGAGAGACTTTGCTATGGAATGTCGTTGGTCTCGCTGGGCAATTGGAGATATCTATGGAAAGGGAACACTCCTGCAGCCTATTACATCGCAGTGTCAACGCTGCTAACATTGGATGTTCTTGCTTTGACAACATATGAAGATGCAGCCTTTTTCTTCCTTATGCTTTACTCTTAGAATTAGATGATGCTGGGGGAGGAGGCGGAATGTGGTGGGAGTTAGTTAGACGTAACAATATTGTACTAGTCTGCGAATTCAGAGCTTGAAATAAGAGACGATAAGAATTGGCGGGCTGGAGAACTGGAGGGAAAGCCTGCATTTCAAGCTAATTGGAGAATGTGATTTATGACGGTGAATTGGAGGAAGGAATTGTGCTTTGATAGTATGTGCTCAGGGGAGGGGAATTCGGATTTCGGCTTCGACCATGTACGTGCTAATGTCATGCAACTTGAATAAAGATTATTTAAGGTAAACAATGCCTCAAAGTTCTTTGAAGAGTTTCCTCTTTCGGAACCATGACACGCACACTTCGGTACAAATGTGCGTTCGATAAATAAATATTTAGATAACTAACTGGTACACCCGATTCCTGACATCTGGCAGGCTTTCCTAAACTAGGTTATCAGAAAGAGAATTTATTTTGGACGTCCCCAAAGGCTGGAAAAATGTCCTTCCCCTTTTACAGCTTAAGGCCAGCGTGGAGCCTCAAATTTATCTTGCTAAGCGAGGCTGTTCTTAAGCCAGCTCTGCCCCATTTTACGCCCTTTTTTGTCACAGTTGTTAAGGGAATCACTGCAGTTTTTAAGTTAGCAAGTGAATCTGTCTTCCCCATGGAAGCTCGCAAAAGGGGATCACATGAATAACAACTGCAGTGATTCAAGAAAGTTCGTAAAATGGGGCAAAATTCACTTAACCAATGTTTCACTTAGGGACAGAAATGTTGAGCTTAGTTGTGGTTGTAAGTTGAAGACTACCTGTATAACAGATTAACGACAGATAGATAAATTGCAAATAGAATTCGAAGTTTAAAAATTTGGAGGGGGGCTGTTTTGCAAGGGGTTGGAACTAATATTGTTGCACTACTACACTTGTCGGTATTCAACTAGGGGGATTATATGCGTATACGCGTTATTTCTTTTGTTTTAACATCTTGTTTTTTCTTTTCTTGTCCTTTTTGGGGGAGTTTTGCATTTTAACTTTGTTTTGAATAAAATGAAAACTACCTGAAAACAAGAAAAGGAAAGAAAAGCAAGGAAGAGGAAGAATTTGCAAAACAGGATTGCATGCTGAGTTGATACCTTTTTCTGCCCGGGACAGCAGAAATCAGGATTAAATTCCTTCCCTGGGCGATGATTTGTATAAGTACTATAGATGCTTGCGGTTGGGGCATTTTTACAAGCTCATTATTTCTTTGCACCTTAAGTTGTTGAATTGCAAGGGCTCACCTTGCAGAGCCTGAAGATTCCCAGTGACTTTAATAAAAGTGCCTTTCACATCTACACCTTTTTAATTGCCCTTATTTATGAACTTTTAATAACAATTGGTCCTGAAGCCGTCTCTAGGTCAACGAGTTTGAATGAATGAAGAATGAATGAATGACAGTGGCAGGTTTCAATAAAGGAGAATATTTGTAGCCCAGGATTGAAATGAGGGATCCTGGGTGCTCTCTAAGTTTGTTTTCTTGCAGATGTTTCATGATGTTTCATATATATGAAGTTCTTGCTTAGTGACCACAATTGACAGAGTCACAGTCACTACGCAAAATGTCAGACTCAGAACACAAGTTGTAAACATGAGGACTAATTGTAAGGCTTTGAGTTTTTTTTAGCACCATTGTAAATTTGAAAGATGGCTAAATGAGTGTTAGATATGCTTGCTGCCTAAATAAAGGTGGGATTTAAAAAAAAAACCTTTAAAAAAAGAGTTTGCTTTGGAACCTAAAAAGCTAGATAGCACAAATATTTTGAACGTTATTTTTCACCATTGCATTTTACAAAGAAGTGATTGTTCTCCCTTGCAGGAAAAAGTCAGTTGCTTGATAAAGCTGCTTGATAAAACTTCCTCGATGCATTTGAGAGCCAAATTTTAATTTGACGCTTGCTCCTAAAATTCACATTGTCATCAGAGCAGGTCTAGGCTGTCTCAGCTTTAAAAAAAATAATTAGAATAGAATAGAATAGAATAGAAATTGGAATAGAAATTGGAATAGAAATTGGAACAGAAATTGGAATAGAATAGAATAGAATAGAATAGAATAGAATAGAATAGAATAGAATAGAATATGGAATATGGAATATGGAATATGGAATAAGAATAGAATAGAATAGAATAGAATAGAATAGAATAGAATAGAATAGAATAGAATATGGAATAAGAATAGAATAGAATAGAATAGAATATGGAATAAGAATAGAATAGAATAGAATAGAATAGAATAGAATAGAATAGAATGTGGAATAGAATAGAATAGAATAGAATAGAATAGAATAGAATAGAATAGAATAGAGCTGGAAGGGACCTTGGAGATCTTCTAATCCAACCCCAACTTTTCTGGTAAGCTACTGCTGGAAGAGGTTAGGAAAGTGTAGGAAATATTACTTTTGATGCCTGCTTTCAAGAATCCCCGTGTGGGGATTCTCCCCACCCAGTCAGTGGGGAGAAAGGGGAGGAGAGTGGTGAAGGAAAGAGAAGAGGAGAGGAAGAAGAGGGAAGTAGGGAAGAAAGAGAAGAAAGGGAGAAAGAAGGTAAAGAAGAAGGAGTGTGGATACAGTAAAAAGGGAAATGGGCGAGCAACACCAAAAGTCATGTGTATGTATTTATTTCATTGTATTAACAGTATCTTATATATAAGAATGTAAAAAGAATGTATGTTAACATCTGATAAATATCATGGTATATGTACTGTATGGGGGAGAGTTTGGAAAAATAAAAAAATTAAAAAATTTAAAAAAAAAATAATCCCCGTGTGATGCGCTACACTCACTACAGTTTAGTGAGATGCTCCATTTATTTCATTTTTTGTTTCATTTCTTAACACTGCGACCAGCAGAAGAGAGAGATGTGTTGCATAAAATCCTTGGCGTCTGCTGGAGGGCAAAAACAGTAATTGGCGAGTGGCGTCTTCAATATTTTGAGGTCAGCAGGTATGAGACAATTGCTCTAGGAGAGACTTGAAGATTGGATTCTGCTGGGCTGGAGGTGATGAAGCTATTAATCTAATGGGCTGCTGCTGCAGGTAATTTCCCATTGGGTGTGCAGGTTGTGCCTTGACTTACAACCGTTTGTTTAATGTCTGTGGAGATTCTCTGCCGTCCGGGCGATGGATGTCCCCAAAGGTGCTTTTTTTCCAAAAGGCAACTTGACTTTGTTTTTTCTCGGAGACGTTTCGCTTCTCATCCAAGAGGTTTCTTTGGTTCTGACCAAAGAAGCGTCTTCATTTCTTCTTCTGAACTGGAGAAGCTTCTTAGATGAGAAGCGAAACCAAGGAAAAACAAAGTCCAGTTGCCTTTTGGGAAAAAGCACCTTTGGGGCAACCGTTTTGTTTAGCGACCTTTCAAAATGACGACGTCACTGAAAAATGTGACTTGTGACCCTTTTTCACCTGGTCACGTGATCAAACTCAGGAGGCGTGGCAGCCGGCTTCTATTTATGATAGTTCCAGGGTCATATCAACCCCTTTTGTGACCACCAGATAAGCAAAGGCAACAGGGAAGACAGATTCACTTAACAACCATGTTGCTAACTTAACAACGGCAGTGGATTCACTGTGGCAGGAAAAATGGTAAAATGGGGCAAAATTCACTTAACAACTGACTTGTTTAACAGTGGAACTTTTGGGCTCAGTTGAGGACTGCTTGTAGGATGGAATGAATAGAAAAGAATAAGAATAAGAATAGAATAGAATAGAATAGAATAGAATAGAATAGAATAGAATAGAATAGAGTAGAGTAGAGTAGAGTAGAGTAGAGTAGAGTAGAGTAGAGTAGAGTAGAATAATGAATAGAATAGAATAGAATATAGAATAAAATATAGAAGAGAAGAGAATAGAAGAGAATAAAGAATATAATAGAATAGAATAGAATAAAGAATAGAATAGAACAGAATAGAATAAAGAATAGAATAGAATAGAATAGAATAGAATAGAATAGAATAGAATAGAATAGAATAGAATAGAATAGAAAAGAATAATGAATAGAATAGAATAGAATAGAATAGAATAGAATAGAATAGAATAGAATGTGGAATAGAATACAATACAATACAATACAATACAATAGAAGACTTGGAAGGGACCTTGGAAGTCATCTAGTCCAACCCCCTGCATAGAATAGAATAGAATAGAATGTGGAATAGAATAGAATAGAATAGAATAGAATACTTGGAAGGGACCTTGGAAGTCATCTAGTCCAACCCCCTGCTTAGGCAGGAAACCCTATACCGTTTCAGACAAAATGGTATTGTAGGGAGATGCTTTCATTCAGAGTTACAATAGCCAGCAACTATCCCTCGTGATCCACTTATGATAATAGAAGATATGCAGGGCGGTGAATATATGCCAAGTGGCGAATTAAACCTTGGAGCAGTTTGACTAGCCTGGTGTGTTTATATTTTTAGCTGGGGGGGAGGTGGGTGGAGGCGATGTTCTTGTAAAACTCCTCACTTCCTCCACGTCACTTGGCAGCCGAGGAAACCAGATAATCCAATTCATAAAAAGAGAACCTGAATGATTCAGAACAGGCCAGCCAGTTTTACACGCCTAAAACTTTGCCCGTAAGGAAATTTCATATATTCTTATCACCCAAAGGGGGGGCGTTTATAATATCTCCACAATTCTGCCCCATATGCAATCATCGGGACCAGTTTGCTGCTATCTGCTTTTATGATTGGAATGAATGAAATGTTCGCTATTTGGCAGAAATCTCTTCCTGGGGGTTTTCCCACTTTCTGTTAAAAAAAAAAAAATGCCATTCCGATTATAAAAGGTTATAGATCTCCAAACGTATGTCAGCTTTTTCATTGCAGTTGATCTGTTTTACAGTGTTTCCCAACCTTGACCATTTTAAGGCATGTGGACTTCAACTCCCAGAATTCCACAGCCAGCATTGCATTGCTGGCTGTGGAATTCTGGGAGTTGAAGTCCACATGCCTTAAAATGGTCGAGGTTGAGAAACACTGTGTTAATATCTGGACCAGCTTTGCAACTTATTTCCAATAGTGATGTTAGCTATTTGTATTACATTTACCTGGTTTTAATAATGTTTCCAACTGAAGTGCTGGATAACATGCACTGGAAAATATTATAAGGGCAAAGATATAAATTGCAATGTATGGCTGTGAAAGTTGGACCATAAGAAAGGCTGAGCGCCAAAGAATGGAGGCCTTTGAACTCTGGTGCTGGAGAAGACTCCTGCGAGTCCCCTGGACTGCAAGGNGATCCAACCGGTCAGTCCTAGAGGAGATCAACCCCGACTGCTCTTTAGAAGGCCAGATCCTGAAGTTGAAACTCAAGTCCTTTGGCCACCTAATGAGAAGGAAGGACTCACTGGAGAAGAGCCTAATGCTGGGAAAGATGGAGGGCAAGAGAAGAAGGGGACGACAGAATGAGGGGGCTGGATGGAGTCACGGAAGCAGCAGGCGTGAGCTTAAATGGACTCCAGAAGATGGCAGAGGACAGGAAGGCCTGGAGGAACGTTGTCCATGGGGTCGTGATGGGTCGGACACGACTTCGCAACTAACAACAACAACAAAGATATAAAACTGTGAAATTATTTCCCTCATCCCTTCTATTTTTGAGGAAGCAAATCCTTTCAGATTCTGGAATTCATGGTCTAATAGCACCAATATATTGCAGTGAACTGTGATTTTTTTTTTTTTTTATTTTAAAAAACAAGCTGCAAAATATTTGAAGGGTTATCTGATGTTGGTTAGGGAACATGCATATAGATATTATGATTATCACCAGCATAGGTGCAGATCTAAAAAAAAGACTATTTATGACCAAGGATGACAAAACATTATTTTGTACTTGCTTTTTGTTCAGTTTCCTTCTGGGCAACATGTCATATATTTTTTTTCCTCCTCCGATACAACTGCCTGTTTGGGGGTTTCTTTTGTGGAGCATGAAATGCAAATTCTGTTGATCGTGCAAACAACCGAGTCCCAATAAAATCCATCTCATTTCCCTGTGTAGCATTCCAACATAAGGCAGTTCCATGATGACTCTCAACATAGACTTCAATAAAAGCAAGTGGACTCTAATACAGTAAGTAAATCCTAGAGTCTAAGCAGAGAGACTTGATATAGATGATAGATAGATAGATAGATAGATAGATAGATAGATAGATAGATAGATAGATAGATAGATAGATAGATAGATAGATAGATAGATATAATACAGAGTGTAAATCATAGAGTCTTAGAGAGATTTGATATAGATGATAGATAGATAGATAGATAGATAGATAGATAGATAGATAGATAGATAGATAGATAGATAGATAGATAGATAGATAGATA